GAGCCTAGACGTCATCTTTCAAGAAATTATCAATGGGAGCAGCTAGGTGGTACAGTGGATAGAGCACAGACCCTGAAGTCAGGAGGACCTGCATTCAAATCTGACCTCAAACCAAATACTTGATGCTTCCTAGCTGTGTGACCCTGGGCAACTCACTTAACCCCAGTTGCCTAAGAAAGAATGAAAGGAAGGAGGAAGGAAGGAAGGAAGGAAGAAAGAAATTATCAAGGAAAACTGCCCTGATGTTCTAGAACCAGAGGGCAAAATAGAAATTGAAAGAATCCACCGATCATCTCCTGAAAGAGATCCCCAAAGGAAAACTCCTAAGAATATTGTAGCCAAATTCCAGAGTTCCCAGGTCAAGGAGAAAATATTGCAAGCAGCCAGAAAGAAACAATTCAAGTATTGTGGAAACACAATTAGGATAACACAAGATTTAGCAGCTTCTACATTAAGGGACTAGAGGGCGTGGAATATAATATTCCGGAGGGCAAAGGAGATAGGATTACAACCAAGAATTACCTACCCAGCAAAACTGAGCGTAATCCCTCAGGGGGAAAAATGGATATTCATTGAAATAGAGGACTTTCAAGCATTCTTGATGAAAAGACCAGAGCTGAACAGAAATTTGACTTTCAAATACAAGACTCAAGAGAAGCATGAAGAGGTAAACAGGAAAGAGAAATCCTAAGGGACTTATTAAGGTTGAACTGTTTACATATCTGCATGGATAGATGATATTTGTAGCTCATGAGACCTTTGTCAGTATTAGAGTAGTTGGAAAAAAATTTATATGGCTAGATAGATAAATAGATAGAGGGCACAAGGTGAGGTGAAGATGAAGAGGTGATATGTGGAGAATAAAATTTAGGGGTGAGAGAGGATTATACTGGGAGAAGGAGAAAGGAAGGGGTAGAATGGGCTAAATTATCTCACATAAAACAGACAAGAAAAGGCTTTTACAGTAGAAGGGAAGTGTGGGGGAAGGTGAGAGGGAATGAGTAATTCTTATTGTCATTGGATTTGGCTTAAAGAGGCAATAACATACACACTCACCTGGGTATGGAAATCTGTCTTACACTACAGGAAAATAGGGGAGGAAGGGGACAAGAGAGCAGGGAGATGATAGAGGGGAGGGCAGATTGGGGGAGGGGGTAATCAGAAGCAAACACTTCTAAGGAAGGACAGGGTCAAAAGAGAGAATAGAATAAAGGGGGGTGGGATAGGATGAAGGGAAGTATAGTTAGTTTTTCACAACATGACTACTGTGGAAGTGTTTTGCATGACTACACATGTATAACCTGTATCGAGTTGCTTGCCCTCCCAGTGAGGGCATGTGGGGAGGGAGGAAAGGAGAAAATTTGGAACCCAAAGTTTTAAAAACAAACGTTAAAAATTGTTTTCACATGCAACTGGGAGATAAGATAGATGGGCAATGGGGTATAGAAATCTGTCCTGCCCTATGGGAAAATAGAAGGGGAAGAGAATACGAGAGTGGGGGGAAATAGAAGGGAGGGTAGATTAGGGGAAGGGGTATTCAGAATACACACAGTCTTGAGGTGGGGAGAGAGATTAGATGGGGAGAAAATTTGGAACTCAAGATCTTGTGGAAGTGAATGTTGAAAACTAAAAATAAATTTAAATCTTAAAAAAAAAAGAAATCTCAAACTGGATGTTCTATAGACATCTTACATTTAACATGTCCAAAACTAAACTCATTCTCTTTTCCCTCAAACCCTTCTGAACTTCCCTGTTACCTTTAAGGGCACCACCATCCTCCTAGTTACCCAGGCTCGCAATCTACATGTCATCCTTGACTCCTCACTGTTTTAGGGGCAAGACAGGAAGTGCTTTGTGGGTGTCCATCTCCCTGGAAGGATTGCATTTGGTGACTCTCATCTCATCCAAGTGGTGTGTGCGTCTGTGTTGTTCTTCTCTCCTGGCTACCCAGTGAGGTCTAGGCGGGAAAGTTAGGGGAAGAACAAAGGGAGGGGACAAAAAGGAACTTCCAATAACTGCAGCTTTCTCATACTCGATTTCTAGCACTGTGCCTTTGCATTGGCTCTCCATCATTCCTAGAATGCTCTCCTCCCTCCTACTCCCAATTTCTTGGAATCCTTGGTTTCCTTCAACACTCATGTGAAGCACCAACTTTAGCCTGAGGCCTTTCCTGATCCCCTACCTTATTTTCATTCACAGTTACCTTGAATCCATTTTGTATGTATTGTGTATATATCTATAGATGTATATGTTGTCTCCTGCATTAGCATGGTGAGAATGAAAATTCTTTTAATGTAGAGATGATTTCAGTTTTATCTTGGTGTCCCAGCATAGCACCTAATATGTGATAGGTGCTTAATTAATATTTGCTGATTGATTCTTCTAATCCCTTACAAAATTCTGCCTTCTTCCAGAATTATGTGGAATTAGTTAGAACAGATTGCTCCAATCTCTCTTGTCCCCTTGGCACCAATGTACTTAGTCTGTAAGATCTCATGATATAAAGAACAGAAAATAGGCAGGTAAGACTAGACTATAAAGTGTTGTAGAAGGAAGTAATATATAAGAAGGCCAAAAAGATAGGATAGAGTCAGATCGTGAAGAGCTTTAAATACTGAACACAGGAGATTATATTTGATACTAAAACAAATTAGGATCTACTGGGAGTTTATGGAGTAAAGAGGGTAACATGGCCATACATGTGCTTTAGGAAAACCACTTTGCTGGCTTTGTGGAGGACAGATTGGAGTAGGGAGAAACTTGGGGCTTGGTAACAAATTAGGAAACAATTGAAATAGTTCAGGAGAGAGCTATCCAGACCTGAACTTAAAGGAGCTGCAATGTGAATCAAGAGAAGGGCTATCTGTGAGAGAAATAGGGGTAGCAATGAGTAGATTTGGTAGTTGAATGGATATGGGGGAGTGAATATGAGGACTTATGGATGACACCAAAGTTGTAAACCTGAGTGACTAGAAGAGTAGTGGTATCCTCAACAGTAATAGGGAAGTTCAGAAGATAGAATAGGTTTTAGAGGAAAGATAAGGATTTCTGTTTTGGACATACTGAGTTTGAGATGCCTCCAGGATTGTCCAGTTCAAAATATACAATAGGCAAGTGGCGATCAATGGAACTGATGCTAAGGAGAGAGACTAGAGCTAGATGTATAGATCTGAGAGTCATTGAAGAAGGGGAATGGCGGGGAGGGGGAGGGAGGGAGAGGCAGAGAGAGAGAGAGAGAGAGAGAGAGAGAGAGAGAGAGAGAGAGAGAGAGAGAGAGAGAGAGAGAAAGGTAGGTTTTCATTGAGCCCGTGACAGTTGATGAGGTCAGAGAGAGAAGAGAGCCAAAGACAGCATTGGGAGATACCTACAGTTAGTAGACAGGACATGGATAATGGTTCAACAAATGAGACTGAGAAGAAACTGTTAGAGGCTTATAATGAAACACAAGAGAGAGTAGTATCACGAAAACCCAGAGAAGAAAGAGTGTACAGGAAGAAATGTGATCGACATTGTCAAAGGCTGCAGAGGTCGAAGAAAGACCGGTAGAGTTGGCAGTTATGAGATCATTCATAACGTTGAGGGGAGCAATTCAGAGTTAGCTCTGATAACCAAAATCAACTGCATCTTCCAAACTTCCCTATTGATGCCAAGGGCCTCAACATCCTTCCAGTCATGTCGGTTCACAGTCTCAGAGTCATCCTTGACCCGTTTTTCTCCCTCACCCAAGATCTTATATATCTGCCGTATCTGACCCCTTCTCTCCACATGGCCACCCCCTTTATCCAGACCCATGTCAACTCTCTTCTGCACTATAGCAGTGGCCCTCCTAATGAGGCAAGGGACCCATGTCTCTCACCCCTCTCCAGTCCATCCTCTCCAGAGCCATCTGAGTGATACTCCTGAGTGCTCTCTTGCTTAATAAATTCCACTGGCTCCCTATTATATTCAGGATCAAATACAGTCACCTCTGTAGAGCATTTAAAGTCCTCCACAACCTGGCTCCAGCCAGCCTTTTCAGATTTATATATTACTCCCCTTCACACTGTTCCTGGACATCCAGACAGGCCATCTAGCTGTTGTTCCTCAAACACGATATTGCATTTCCCATCTCCAGGCCTTTGCTCTATCTGTCCCCCATGCATGGATTGTCTTCTCTCCATATCCTCACCTCTTAGAATCCCTAGTTTCTTTTATTTATTTTATTTTAGTTTAGTTTTAATTTATGGGATAAAACAAGCATTTCCATAACATAACATAATAATAAAAAAAAGATTGCCCATGAAACTGCAAATCTGTTATGTACAACTTGCTATTCCTTTTAAATATATAATAAAGTTATCATGTAAATTTCTGTTTTTCCCTTTTTTCTTCCCCTTCCACTCTAGAGATGGCTAAGGTTAGACACAAATATGATAAAAATCATTCTATACAAACTTCTGTCTACCAGTTCTTTTTCTGGATGCAAAGAGCATCCTTGTTTCTTTCAAAGCTTAGCCTCAGTGCTACTACCTCCATGAGGCCCTTCCTGGTCTGCTCCCTCCCCAGGTCCCAGAGCCTTTACCCAGGGGTGTGCTTGTAAATTTTAACAACCATTCAGAAGTGGGGAGAGGGAACAAAGTGGTATTCAGGGCACTTTTTTTTTAATTTAACCTACATTATTAACATTTTCTCCATCACTTTCTGAAGTCTAGATGATCAGCAAAAAAATAAATAAACCAAGCCCAGATTTATAACATTTCCCAATTTCTGAGGTATAAGTGTTCACACTAAAAGTATAATAATTAGCTCTCAAGAGCCAATTCAAGCTGGCTGCAACACAGTGTAGGCTCCACCCCTAAAAATTACCTTTTTTTTGTATGTGTACTTGGTATCTCCCCGGATAGAATTAATTTTTAGAGAGCAGAGATCATTTCTTTTTTGTCTCTGTAGCCATAGGGCCTGGTATATATGTGGCATTTAATCAATACTTGTCAATTGCTTGTCTTTTTTATTGCGTATAGGCATTGTGGTTGGCGTGAACGAGAACACTGCTTTTTCCTGGCCTGTATGTAACAGATGTGGCAATGGGAAACTGGAGCAGGACCTCTCAGAAAACAGGTAAGAACCAATGTGTACTGTTCTTTCAAGCCCCTCTCTAAGGCACTAAGTAAGGCGGGAAGGAAGTCCAAAAGGAAATTGGAAAGACTAATGTAGCTCTTGTCCTCCCTCCCTCTTACTGCCAAGGGCATGCTCCATCCTGCCTGAAGGATCTGACTGCCCAGAAGCCCAAGTAGATTTCAGCGTGATTATCAGGAGATGCCTAAAGGACAGGCATAGCTGGAGAAATAACTAAGCCCCCAGTGGCCCTTGGAAAACGCTCTGATACATTTTGGGTTCTGTCTCAGCAGCATGGGGATGCTGCTGTTTCCTAGGGCTCCTCCTACCTGAAATATGGGGGAGGACAGATTGGGATGTTTTTGTCCTAAATACCAGTCATTTACAATCAGCCAAGAGGATGAAGGAAGATTGGGGCCAGAAAAGAGCAAGTGAGAAATCCTGATGGCTGTACAATTTGTCCTTTAGGGAAGAAAAAAAAATCCAGGCTTTTCCCTTAGGGGGAAAAAAAAAAAAGACTGAGCAAAAGTCATCTGACATTGGTATTTGCTATTAAGGAACGTGCTTGTAAATGAGTGCGTACACACCATGTGGCCAGCAGCCACAGCCCTTTTTCTACTGAAGTGTCTAATAAACAGATTTAAAAAACAAAACAACTACTTGTCACAGAGATTCCTCGTCTGCTGAACTACACAAACAACTGTTAATCCCGGCTCTCCTGGCTAGTTTCAGTTCACTGCTTTTCCCAGTCAATTCTCTTGCCTCCTCTTTGGATGTCCTCTTCATCAACATTTCTTAAGTACCTACTGTGTGCTGAACCCTGGGAATGCAAGGACATAAAGACTGGTACAGTCCCTGCCCTCAAGGAGCTTATACACCAGCACAGCAGGTATAACTGCCTTGGACACAAATAACTGTAATACAAATGAGAATGTGGTGAGTGCCTCTGAGAGATCCAAATGAAGGGGTGGGGGGAGGATGCTGAGAGCAGTCCCTTCCAGCTGGGGGATGTCAGAGTTGACATAGAAGCCAAACGGCCAAATAGTAGTAGGCAGGAACTTTTTATGGAAAAAACATAACACACACACACACACACACACACACACACACACACACACACAGATGAGCACCGTCATTGCCTTGCGAACGCAAAACAGCTCCTTTCAGTAAACTGGGTTAGTGACTTTCATTTAGAAGCGGAAACTTCCCTTCTTGGCATTTCAGAGATAAATACAATGAGTGTAAGCTACCCATAAATCTCAGCAGCTTACTGTATAGCCAAGAGAAGAGCAAAGCTAAGTGAAGGCAAATTTGATTTCTTCAGGGAGCTGTGGGGGTACCCCTGGTTCTCAACCCTCCATGAAGGGCCTTGTGTTTGTGCTCCATTTGGCTGTTTCTCCTATCATTTTCTGTCCCTGATGTGAACATTTTGGGGGATGCCCTAGCTGTTATTCTGTATTGCCCCTTCACTGGAACCTCATTCTCTTGCAACCAATAACTAACACTAAGGGGATGACAGGATGTCATGGTGGGTAGTCAGGAATCAGTCAGTCAACAAGCATCTATTAAGCGCTTCCTGCATGCCAGGCACTAGAGATACAAATACAAATAAATACAATGAAATTAGTCTCTTCCCGAAAGGAACTCTTGGACTTAATTTTGTATAAGGAGGACAACATATACACATGTAAGTACATAGAAGATCTAAGTCACTACAGAATTTGGGGGTTTGGAGCCAGACCTGTGATTTCACTGCTAGAAGGAACTCCAGATGAAGAAATGTCCTCTAGCAATGCAGATCATTGAGAGCACTGCAATTTATGATATTAGTGATGCCTGGAGAGCTGAGGTTAAATGATTTGCCCAAGGTCACACTTCCCGGGTATCAGAAGTAGGATTTAAACCCAAATCTTCCTTACTTTGAGGCCATCTCACACTGCCTCTCAGATAAGGTATAAATAAAATAATATAAGGTAATTTGGGGAGGAGAGCCATTAGGAGCTAGGGGGATCAGGAGAAGCCTCCTGTAGTAGGTGGTGTTTTAGCCGATCTTTGAAGGAAATGAGGGATTCTGAGGGTGCACATTCCAGATATGGGGGACAGCTTGGGCAAAGACAGAGACGGGAAATGAATGCCGTAGGTGAGGAAGAGCGAAGGAGGCTTGTCTGTCACTAGACCAAAGAGAATATGAAGAAGAGCATTAGAATATAAAGCTGGAAAGGACAGGAGCCAGGTGGTGAAAAACTTAAAATGCCAAACACAGGATTTGTATTTGGTGCTAGACGCTATAGAAAGTCACTGAAATTTACTGACTGTGTATGCCCCTTCCACCACCTTGTATAAAATGGTCAAACCCATGCTTTAGGAATATCACTTTGAGAGCTTTGTAGAGTTGAGAGAGGAGGCAGAGAGAACAATTAGGAAGGTATGGCAATAGTTCAGGCACTAGCTGTATGACCCTTAACTGGTTTGCCTCAGTTTCCTTGATTGTAAAATGGGCATAATAATAACAATATCTACCTTACAGAGTTGTTGTGAGGATCAAATAAAATATTTATTGAAAAAAAAAAACACGCACTTAGCACAATGCCTGGTCCATAGTAGGTACCTTAGAGATGTTTTTTTCTCTTCCTTACCCTTCTCTTCCCTGAGAGGTGATGAGGGCCTGACATGGATGCTGGTCATGTGAATGGAGAGAAAGGGACAGATACAAGAGTTGTCGTGGAGGTAGAATAAACAAGACTGTGAGATGAGGGACAAGCGAGAACTCCAAGGTTGCAAACCTGTATGACCAGAAGGATAGTGGTGCCCTAAGTGAAACAGGGAAGTTTGTAAAAGGAGTATGTGGGGGGGGGGAGGTGGATGATGAGTTCTTTTTGTGTATATTAAGTGTGAGGTGCTACTGGACATCCGATTTGAAAAATCCAGTAGGCAGTTGGTGATCATGAAGCTCAAGAAAGGGGATGAGATTGGATATCTGGCAATCATCTCCAAAAAAAACCCAAAACTGTTTATCAAATGATAATTGATGAGGTGATAAAGAGAAGAGACCTGGGACAGAGCTTTGAGGTACACCCAAAGTTAGAGAACAGGATATAGATGAAGATCTAGCAAAGAAAAGAAAAGTGAGGGTATCCTGGAGGAGTGGGGGAAGATAGTATCAACATCTGCAGAGAGGTCAAAAAGAAGATGCCATCAGATTTGACCATACAGAGATCAGTGATAACTTCGGAGACAACAGTTTCATTTGAGTACTGAAGTCACAGAGCCAGAATACAAGGTATATGAAAGTGAGTGATAGTTGAGGAGGTGATGGCATTGAATACAAACAGCTTTTTCTGAGAATTTGTCTGTTAATGGGAAGAAAGATGGAGGACAATGGCAAGAGGGCATGGGCGGGTCAAATGAAGGGTTGTTTTTTTTTTTTAAGGATGTTGGGAGACAACAGAATGAACCAGTGGATTATATGAGAGAGAATGAAGATCAGGATTAGAAGAGATGAGATTGTCGAGATCTGCTGGGGAAGATGGGATCAAGGGTGCAAGCACAATGGGAAGCCTTTGGGTAAAAGGGAGAGAGAGAATTGGGGATAATGGCAAAGGGTTTTGTGATATAGAGTAGGGGAGAAGAGGGAGCTCATGGAGGACTTTTTTTTCCCAATAAAATATGAGGTAGGGTCTTCTGCTGAGAGGTGGGAGAAGGCAAGAGTGTGTGAGATGAGGGGAAAGGATTCTGAACAGCTGCCGAGGGGAGTGTAATGGAGAATCAATTAGGGAGCAGCAATAGGGTTGCCTTGCGTGGAGTAGTGGAGGTGGCAGATAGCGTGAATGCTTTGGACCTCCACATCCCACCTCTAACACCGGTCTGGGTGGCCCTGGACAAGTCACTAGCTTATGAGTACCCCCAGGCAACTCCCTAAGACTATAAATTGCAGATGTGCACCAGGTGTTTCCTATATGAATGAAATCACATGTCTAGATTTTTAAAAATGTTTTATACTCTTTAACATAGCAGATGTTAGTCCTACTAGGTTGAAGATATTAATGGGTATATGAAAGCATATCTATTTCTCACATATCTGACTCTTTTTTTGTTGTTGTTTTGTTTTCAATCTTGCTGCTCAATTTTTAAATACCAGAGGATCCTTTCACTGTGGCCGATGCACCCTCACTGTCACATCTCCCCTTCTCAAAATGCACCTAGAAGTGGTTTTGGCCTGCCCCTCTAGACCACAGGGTAATATGAAAGTAAAGGTATGAATGAATTAAACTATTGAGAGAGAAGTTTGTTTACATCTGGCTTGCACCATGGCCTAGGGGAGGTGGGGATACTCTACATCAGTAACTGAGGGGGTGTTTTTGTGTGGTGGTATTGATTGAAACTCCTGGAAACTTCATTGAGAAAAGTGAGCGTGGCCCAGGGGAGGGCTTTTCCATGTATATGACTGAAATAAAGACCATGAGGAGATCCTGATAATTGCAGATGTCTAAGCCATGATATAAAAGACAGGACACAAGGTTCTAGACTTAACATATTAATTTTCAGAACATGACTATTTTTAACATGAGTGCTCATGTTCATGGGATTTTAACACACTCTCCTGTTGTCTCTTTTCCTGCAGCTGTTGCAAAGGAGTATTTCTTCACTCCTGATGTTTTCCTCCAGTGAGGATGGGGTAAGTACAGGTGATTAGAATCCAAGGTAAACTGATTTGATTTCTAGAACATATGCAAGCCCTAAGAAGGTCACCTCCCCCCAAAAGCACAGCAGCTGGGAGTCTGTTCTCCTTATACAATATTAGTAAGAACCCTGCCCCCACTCTAAGGTTATGTGTATGCTAAATAACTTTGAATTAGAACATGAATAAATAGAGCGAAGTAAGGAAAAAAATCCATGGCTCCCAAGATGATCTTATAGAAACAGATAACAAAGGGTTTTAATGGTGCCTCTTTGGAGAGCAATATACTTATAAACATAGGGCAGCTAAGTGTTTGGCTTGGAGTTAGGAACTCATCTTCTTGAGTTTAAACCCAGGCTAGCTATATGACCCCTGGACAATTCACTTAACCCTGACTACCTCAGTTTCCTCACTTGTAAAATGAGCTGCAAAAGGAAATGGCAAATCACCCTGGTATCTTTGCCAAGAAAACCCCAAACGGGGTCATGAAGAGTCAGACACTACTGAAAAACTGAACAACAACGACATACTTATAAACCTCGAATACAAGTGAAACTAGCTGGAACAATGGATGGATTCAGAACACCTAAAATCCTGCCTCAGACACTTCCTTAGCTGTATTATACTTGGGCAAATCACTTAACCTGTATCTGCCTCACTTTTTTCATCTGTAAAACTGGAATAAACATAGCACCCACCTCATAGGGTTATTCTGAGCATCCAGTGAAATAAACAACAGATGTACAGTGCTTTGTAAACCTTAAAGCACTCTCTATCAATGCTAACTGTCCATCCCCAAATTTCAGTTTCAAAATATGTTTCACGTCCATGAAACCACATATTAGACTACAGTAGGACCCTTGCCTTGGCTACAAGGTTGGACCATATGGCCTTGAAGATTCCATTCCAGCTCCATGATTTTATAAGGTGTTTTATAATAGATGGATATTTCAGTGTACAAGTAACAGGCAAACTTGCCATTATCTCTACCCAGAATACTCTAGTAAGTACAGATATCCCTTCTACCTTGAGAGGGTTAGGGGCATGTTGCCCTGCCTCAATCAGGAAAATCTGCATAAAATTTTTTGGCCCTCTTTCATACCAGAAAAGAAATCTGAATTATCATGGTACTAAAAGATAAAATATGTTGATATTATATAATACCATATGTGTATTTTATGCATTTCTGAGTTTCTAAAATTTTTCTGTGTCATCTGCTGGCCTTCACAGGTCATCTGTGGCTCCTTAAAACTCCCAAAAAATCACCATATAATTTCTTTAAAAAAAAAAAGATTTATTTATTTTTGGTTTTCAGCATTCATTTTTATAAGATTTTGAGTTTTAAATTTTCTCCCCTCCCCCCCCAAGATGGTATGCAATCTTATATAGGCCATACATGTACAATCATATTAAACATATTTCCACATTAGTCATGTTGCAAAGAAGAATTAGCACCAAAGGGAAAAACCATGAGAAAGAAAATACCAAAAAAAAAGGAAAAGTAGTATGCTTCAATTTGCATTCAGACTCCATACTTCTGTCTGTGGATCTGTTTAGCATTTTCCATCATGAGTCTTTTGGAATTGTCTTCAATTATAGTTTTGCTGAAAAGAGCTAAGTCTATCAAAGTTGGTCATCACACAGTGGGTGGCTGTTATTATGTACAGTGTTTTCCTGGTTCTGTTCACTTCACTCAGCATCAGTTCATGCAAGTCTTTCCGGGTTTTTCAGAAGTTTGCCTGCTCATCATTTCTTATGGAACAATAGTATTCCATTACATTCATATACCACAGTTTGTTCAGCCATTCCCCAGTTGATATCAAAACTGAGATGTGGAAGATGTGGAAGAGATAAGTGTATTGTCAAATGTATCTCATAGAATGAACTCCCCTCAGAAAGTCCCTACATCAGAGTCTCTACAGTCAGTCAGCTAGTAGTTAAATACCTACTGTGTGCTAATGGCTGTAAGTCAGTGGTGTCAAACTTAAACAGAAACAGGGACCACTAAGCCATATGTAATGAGCCACATATTGACTTAGAAGACCATACCTGTGTGTGCATTTCTTTTTCTTTTTTTTAATTAACACATCGATGCATTAAAATTAGATAGGAAAGAACCACGTTTTAATCTGGTTCGGCCTGACCTTATGGGCCACATTCAGCTCCAGGGACCAATACCTCTTCTCTAAGTATCACTTACAGTCCAGAGACGGTGGCTTCCTCATGAAACATTAGCATCCCTAATGAATTAGGAGAGCTAACCCTTCCCTGGGAGGGATGCTGTTGTCTTTACAGGATCATGTGATCATCCATCTAGGGATCCCATCAGGAAGGGACCCCAGATCCCAACTCCCCTCATTTTACAGGTGAGAAACCCTAGGAAGATCTTTTGTTGTTGTTCAGTTGTTTTCACTCCTGTCAGACTCTTGGTGACCCCATTTAGGGTTTTCTTGGCAAAGAAAACTTAGGCAAGTAGGGTTAAGTGACATGCCCAGGGTCACACAGCTAGTAAGTATCTGAGGCCAGATTTGAAGGAAAATGAGCATTTCTGACTCTAGGCGCAGCACTCTATCCACTTCACCACCCAGTTTCCCTAGGGAGATCTAGGAAAGCTAAGTAAGTTGCCTAAGATCATACAAGTAGTCACAGAATCAGAATTTGAACCCAGGACCTCTGGCTCCTGAATAAGGATTCTTTCTACTGTACTTCTCTGACTTGTTCTTATGTGTGTACATGTTGTCTCTCCCCCAGCAGAGTTTAAACTCCTTGGGGATAGGAACTACTGATTTTGATTTTGTACTCCCAGTGCCTAGCATAGTACTTGGTACTTAATAATTGCTTCTTGATTGATTAAAAACACCGTTCCACAGCACCCCACCTTCGTGTCTGTGTTCCACCAGGACCCTGACAGAATATTTGTAAACATTATGTATAGCTCTAGGGGAAGACAGAGCATGTGAGGATTTTGTATGCTATCAATTAAATATGTTTTTAGAATTATAGGGCAGCAGGGCTGAGATAATTCTTTTAATTTAGCTGCCAGAATTCTAGGATGCATCAACCAATGAGAACCTCTTCTGTGATGTTCAGAGATAACCCCAGAATCTCTCTCTGCCTTCAGTTCAATTGTCTGCCATTTTCCAATGCTTCCCTTTCTCTCTAAAATTATTGCTTCCAATAGTTTCACAGCATTTCTATAGTAACAGCTTCATTTGACCCACTATCCTCAATTTAGATGTGTTGACCCACTATCCCCAATGTAGATACCGTCATCCTGTTCCTACCTCCCAGTGACCAGGACTGACAATACTTAGGGATGAAGCAATATTTTATGTTTTAAATTTGCATTTTATCTAATCTGTCAAATGTTTTGCAGATATGAGTTATTATTTTGAACAAGCTAAAGGAGGGGCAGAATCATCATCGTCCTCATAAATAGGGAAATGCTGAGCACTCCCTTGGGTACTTAGTGCTAGCTGCAGTGCTTTGTCTGGGGCTTTGTACGCAGGGACTTCTTTCCCATCCCAAGTTGGATGCATAGATCAAGTACACGCTTGATAAATGGTTCGTTGGCTGCTGGATGTCTTGGTTGATTTGGCAGTGGGGACTCAGCAAGTATCAGTTGACTGCATTGTACAGAAATTAAAATATAATCTGTTCTAAATACATTCACTATGCCAGAACATAGATATCACAAACATTTTGTTTTTAGAATTTCCATATTTTGGGTTTGTTTGTTTTTTTAATATTTTGAGCAAGAGACATTAAGTAGGAAATTGGGGTCATTTACAAAGGGAAAAGAGAAAAATGATGGAGAGTGATGGGTTAACCGTGCAAGACTGATTGGCTGTATTTAAAAGGAAGAAGAATGGGTATTAGGGATGGCAAATTAGGTTCTCAGGGATAAATCCCCTGTAGGAAAATGTGAGGAACAAGAGGTTTAAGGACTTTCATCCCCTAGATGAAGATAGAACCAGGTAGGAGCATCATCGTTTCCTTGAGAAATCATATAGACTTTGGGACAAAGGCTCCTCCTCTCTCTCTTTCTTTTATGCTCTCCTTCTTGGGCTGAGACCCAGAAGATAGGAGGACACACTGGCAGCAGTTCTTTACCATCCATCTCATTCCTTCCCAACAGTGGCACTATCACTCCTCCAAATATTTTACAATAGCTTATATGCAAGCTTATGCGACTCTTTCATTTTTATCTCTGTAATGCCCTGCACAGGGCCTTGCAAATAGTAGTTGACAAATGCCAATTGAATTGATTGAATTGGATTTCTAATTTTCCGTTAACTCCAGATTTCCTGAAATTTTCTGAAACAGAAATAAAGGGAAGAGCAGACTTGGGAATCTTGCCTAGGAGCATGACATAGTCTGATACAGGATCTGTTTACAGTCTAATATTTGTTAGTGATAAAAGCAGACATTTGTTAGTGACAAAATCTGAAGTTACTTAAAAGGAGGGCCCTTGCTTCACCTGGGCCTCCACACAGTGTGCAGGGTGCAGTTAAGGTCTATTTCAATCTACTGCCATAGTTGCAGGTACCATCAAGGCCTGTCCAGTGTAGTAATGTCAGCCTCTAGTTATGGAGGATGGATATAACATCCTATGGGTTTTGCTCTTAAGAATCCATATCCCTGAAATCTTTTTTAAAAAATGAGTAGTTCCGGTAACCACCACGACAACACTCCCTGTGTTTGGTTAATGGGGCATGAGTGTTAAGTTTTGTGCCTTTAACTATCTTGTATCCGAGTCACCAACTCAGAGTCTTTTAATTGGCTAAATATTGGACGTGTCGGTGCTCAGATGTGGTATTAGAGAATGAAGAGTTTACTTCCTTGGCTTTTAGCGACAAGGCGAAATGGAAGAACAAACCTGCTAGGCCGTGTTTACCCAATCCACTTTTGCTACATGTGTAGCCATGTGTTTATCTGAGAAATACCTGGGAGGTTGCCATCTGTCATTATGTTGTGCGCAGCGTCAGAAAGGAAATAAACGATCGTCCCATCAGAAACCACTTATCATTTCACAAATCATAGATCCTGTTCACCATGAATGACCCCACACCTGCCAATTTTGACATTTCTAAACAAAGCCATATGTGCCATATTGACTAAAAAAAAAAAGTTTCAACTCAGACCCTTTTTCCTATTCGTGACTTAGAAAATCTGCAGCAAGTGTCTGATGTCATCCATTCTGTGCAGTCTAACAGAGGACTGCAGAATGTGTTTGTCCAACAGCCCTCTGTTACAATAACAGCAGTAGGTATAATAACCTATATTTGCAAAGTGTTTTATGTTTTTTCACATACATACATTATCTCATAATTTCCTCTGTTCTCTACTTCTCCAGAATATTATTGGAAACAGCTGTGGTACAGGAGAAACAACATTGGATTTGGAGTCCGAAGAACCGAGTTCAAATCCAAGCTTTGACCCTTTCTATCTGTGTGTCCTTGGGCAATAATAATTTTGTTGTTCAATCATATGCAACTCGTCCTGACCCCATGGACCATAGCATGACAATACTGACCATGGGGTTCTCTTGGCAAAGATACTGGAGTTGTTTGCCATTTCCTCATCCAGTAAAAATAATAATAGCTACCATTTATATAGCACTATGTGCCAGGAACTATGCTAAGCATTTTAAAATTATCATCTCATTTGATGCTTACAACAACATTGGGAGGGAGGTATGTGCTATTATTATCCCCATTTTACAGATGAGGTAACTGAGGCACAGAGGTTAAGTGACTTGACCAGGGTCACATAGCTATTAAGTGTCTGAGGCTGGATTTGAACTTGGGTTTTCCTGATTCTCCAGGTCATACTCTCTGTGCCTCCTAGATGCTATATGCCTCCAGGATGGTCAGTTGATTTCCCTGAGTCTAGCATTCTTCACAACATTAACACAACTAAAGGGATTGTACTAAATAACCTCTTGGGTTTATTCACGTTTTAAAACTTTAAAACTCTGTGATCATGCCAGTGAACTCAGGACCTTCTTTAAAAATTGGAAGTGTATAAGAGTTGGAGTGCCTTCCATAGATGTGCGTCCATCCCTAGCAGGGTTTGTGAATACCCTTTACTTTGCCCTGTCTCCAACTGTCACACTCAGGCCTTCTTGTTTTTTTTCTTCTTGCCTCAGATGAGAGGTGATTGTCAATAACCACGTGTTTATAAAGCATCTGTCTCTGAGGAGGAGTTGACAGGTTTATTTATAGCCCATTCAGTCCTCACCAAGTACCCTCTGAGGTGAGTTCAGGTGTGCCCTGTTTTATGGAAACCTAATGCGGCATGTAAACATCCAAATGGACAAAATAAGTAAAGATCTGACTGTAATTTTCTTAACAACAGAAGGAATTGCCCTAGGTTTACAATTTCATTGTTTGTAATTATTTGACTGGTGAGCAGCTTTTCAAAACCACACCTATTTTGTAAAGCAGCTGGTGACCCAGTGGATAAAACGCTGGGCCTGGAGTAGGAAGACCTGAGTTCAAATCTGGCCTCAGACACTGACTTGCTATGTGACCGCGAGCAATACACTTCACCTCTGTTTGCCTCTGTTTCCTCATCTGTAAAAATGGGGAATAATAGTGTCTCCATTCCGGAGCTGTTGTGAGGAGCAAGTGAGATAATTGTAAAGCACTTAGCACAGTCCTGGTACATAGAAAGTGCTTTAAAAATGGAAGCTTTCATTATTGTTACTATTATTGTTGTAGCAAAATACATCCTTATAGAGCAAATATTCACATCCTCATGGATCAGATGGAGAGATTGAATCATAGAGGTGACTGTAACCTAAGATATAGTCTAATTCCCACATTTTATAGATGCAGAAACTTGAGACCTAGAGGAAGGAATTGACTTACCCAAGGTCATACAACTAACTAAAGGTGGCAGACCTGGACCTCAGACCCCAGTTCTTCAGTTATAAAAATAGCTAACATGAATACAGAGCTTTAAGGCTTACAAAGTACTTTCCATATATTATCATCTCATTTTACCCTCACAGGAAATCTGTGCAGTGCATACTGTTATTGTCTTCATTTTATAGATGAGGAATCTAAGGCTGACAGGTTAAGTAACTTGCCCATGGTGTCTTGGTTAATTTAGTAAATATTTGAGACACGACTTGAATTCAGGTCTTTCTGATTCCCGGTCTAGCATTCTGTCCTCTAGGTCACTGGTGTCTAACGCAAATAGAAATGGATCTCTGCAGGCTGCATATTGATTTTGTTGTTCAGTCATGTCTGACTTTTCATGACCCCTTGGACCATACCATCCTTGGGGCTTTCTTGGCAAAGATACTGGAGTGGTTTGCCATTTCCTTCTCCAATGGATTAAGACAAACAGAGGTTAACTGACTTACCCAGGGTCACGCGGCTGCTAAATGTCTGAGGCTGGATTTGAACTCACTTTTTCCTGATTCCAGGCCCAACACTCTATCTACTGAGCCATCTAGCTGTCTCATATACTGACTTAGAAAACTACAAATTAACATTATCTATGTTGTATTTTTATTTATTTTATTAAATATTCCCCAATTACATTGTAACCTGGTTTCAGCTGCACCCAGGAGTGTTGAGGGTCATGCCTGTGGGCTACGTGGTTGACACCTCTGCTCTGTATCTCCTAGCTGCTTCAGTCCAGCTTCTTCCCCTACATCATGCTGCTTCCCATTTGCCTGCCAAAATGGTAAATTAAACTAGTGTCCAGCCAGGTAATAGTCAGTGGTCAAATGTTTTTTATGTTCTTGTAACTCAGCACTGCCAACCCAAAGTTGACCTCTCCTTCCTGAGTTCATCTGTGGCCAGAAAGGAGATGGAGATATTCCAAGGTCTGTCTGAAAGTGACACTTAAAAATAGGGACCTGAAGTTCAAGGGCTCTCATCAGATTAAGACAATGACCTTGGAGTGGCCACTCTTGCAGCTGGGGAAGCACAGGAAGGATGGAAGGGAGGGGCATCTATAATTGGGAGGCATCCTGAGAATTGGATATAACTGGTGGTTCATCTGTTACCATCTTGGGCCTTCCGTGTTTCCTGAAACAATGGGTGTCTGTTGTGATGCTGGGCAACATGGTAGAATGGGAAGAACACCAGCTCCAGAGGTGATCGGCCTCTCTGGATTCAAATCACCCTTCCACCACTGACTCCTTGTGTGACCTAGGCCAGGAAACGTCACCTATCTTGGCCACAGTTTCTTCATCTGTAAAATAAGGATTTGGGTTAGAAGGCCTCTGAGGTCCCCTCCAGCCCTTGGTCATGATGTGGGGTCGTGACATAAAGGGAATGATGGCAGCTACTTCAGTATCAGCTGCCACCATTAAATGAGGACCACAGTTTACCTACCACCTCCAGAATCAAATAAAAAATTGTTTGGCATTCAGAGCCCTCCATAACCTGCCCCCTCCCACACTTTCCTAGTCTTTTCTTTTCACACACATCCCCCTACGCGCACCCCACTCGCTACACACACGCGCACACATGCGCGCGCACACACACACACACACACACACACACCCATGTACTCTTCAATCCGTTGACGATGGTCTCCTTGCTGTTCCCCAAACAACATATTCCATCTTTCAACTCTGGGCATCTTCTTTGGCTTTACCCAGTGCCTAGAATGCTTTGCTCATCTCCGCCTCCTTATTCCCCTGGCTTCCTTTAAATCTCAGCTGAAATTCCACCTTCTACCAGAACATTGTCCTAATCTCTCTTAATTGTTGTGCCTTCCCTATTAAGTATTTCCAATTTGTCCCAGCCAAACTTGTTTGTACATGGTGGTTTACTTGTTGTATCCTCCATTTAATTGTAAGCTTCTCGAGGGCATGGATTGTCTTTTACCTTTCTTTGTGTCCCCAGGTCTTATAACAATGACTGGCACATAGTAGGTGCTTAATAAATATTTATTGGGGCAGGTAGGTGGTGCAGCTGATAGAGCTGGGAGGACCTGAGTTTAAATCAGGCCTCAGACACTTGACACTTACTACCTGTGTGACCCCAGGCAAGTCACTTAACCCCAATTGTCTTGCCTAAATAAATATTTATTAACTGACTGGCAAAAAAAGAATGCTCTATAAGGGTGTTAAGATTTAGAAAGGCGCTCCTTATGTACTTGGAGGTTAGTCCATGGTGAGGATTGTACCAAAATTCAAATTAAACAAAATTAAGTTCCTGTTGCCAGGTACTATGTGTTTTAAGCCATAGACAGCCTAGCTGTGGCAAACACAGCAATAAAGATAAATCCATCATTATTTTTAACCACCCACTGTGTCTAAGGCACTTCACTAGTAATAGTAGGGCTAGGATTCTTATTCTGAGTTTTAAAAAATATTTTGAGGACTGCATTTCAATAGAATTAGTTTCCTTTGTAATTCCATGGATTTTATTTTATGCATTTAAAAACATTCAGAAAAGGGGTCTGTAGCCTTTTCCAGACTGCCAAGGGGCATGTGATTCAGAAAAGGTTAAGGACCCCTGCTGGAGGGGATACAAAAAATGTGAAGGACATGGTCCTGCCTTAGAAAACTTAAGAGTCTAGTTGGAGAGGCAAGACATGTATATATATATATATGAAAAGATGAAACGTTAGAGTAGAAGATAGTCCAGAGTCCAGGGGTGAGGAATCCAAAAGGATTTGGGTTCAGTCAAAAGGCTGCATTTAAGGATGTAGAAGGCCACATGTGGCCTCAAGGCCGCAGGTTCCCCATCCCTGGTGCAAACAAATAAAGGGCATTGGCGATCAAGGAAGAGATTAATGCACTCAAAATATTTTGGCTTCAAAAAGGAGGTGAAATTTGGACTTGACCTTAAAGGATAGGGAACATGTCATTAAAAGTAGAAGATCATGGAGAAAATTTCCGAAAGAAGTGACATTGTGAACAGAAGCACAGAAGTGGGGCTATAGTCTATTTGGAGGGACAGTTGAATTCAGTGCCACCCCGTTTGTTCAGTGCCCAGCGGTGTTGTGAGTAGACCAGTCTGGCTGGAAGAAGAGGTTCATGTAGAGGCAAGTGACAGAGAAAGCTGGGAAGGTATGTTGAGGCTAGATTTGCAGAGGGGAAGGAGTGGTGTATTGAATAACAAGCAAGATTCCCATTGCTACCATAGCAGACACTCACTACTATTTTACTAAATTTATGTAAGAAACAAACATTTTTTGACAGGGACAATGCAAGAATTCATTTTGCTTGGCTATGCACATTTGTTACAAGGATTTTTTCTTTTTTTTAATGGAGAAGACTTTTTTTTGTTAACTTAAAAAATAAAATTTAATCTTAAAAAATGAACATTTTTTTAAGTAGCTTCCTAATAGGTCTTCCTGGATCCACTGTCTCTTCCTCTAGTTCACCCTTTATAGTATGACCAGAGTAATCTTCCTCAACCAGTGACCTGGTCATATCAACTTGAGCTCTACTTCGTATGATACCTGCTTCATAAAGCCTTCCCTCATTCCTCTCATCAGTAACTTTTTCACCCATAAACCTTACAGAGCACTTTATTTTCCTCACCCTAAAGTACATATGTGTTGCATATGTTATTTTCATCGACTAGGGGAAGGAGAATGGAAGGGAATGAGCATTTCTGTAGTGCCTCCTATGTGCCAGGCACTTTTTACAAATATTATCTCATTGGATCCTCACAAGAACTGGTGCTATTATTATCCACACTTTACACTTGAAGAAATGAAGGCAAACAGAGGTCAAGTGACTTGCCCAAGGTCACACTGCTACCAAGTACAGTAAGTGTCCAAAGCTGGATTTGAATTCAGGTCTCCCTGATTCCAGGCCCAGAGCCTAGAATCCATTGCTTCACCAGCTCCTTCACAAGGACAGGAACCCTGTCGTTTTTAAACTTGATTATCTCCCAGCACAAAGCTCTTCACATAGTAATAATTTAATTAATTCAGCAACTATTTATTGAGGGCTTACTATATAGCAGTCACTGGAAATAGAAGGAGAAAAGTGAGATAGTTCCTGCCTTCAAGGAGCTTATATTCTATGAGGGAAACAATGTGTTCCTATAAGTAAATACAAAGTAAATAATTTCCCAAGAGTAACTAGCATGAGGAAATGGGGGAGGAAATCAGGAAAGGTCTCATATAAGAGGTAGCACTGGGGCAGACTATTATTTATTTGTTTGTTTATTTATTTTTGGCTAGGCAGTGAGATTAAATGACTTGCCCAGGGTCACACAGCTAGTAAATGCTATGTGTCTGAGGCCGGATTTGAACTCCAAGGCCAGTGCTCTATCCACTGCACCACCTAGCTGCCCCTGAGGCTGACTTTTAAAGAAAGCTAGGGAATTCTGAGAGTCAGAGTTAGGAAGTACATTCCAGGTGTGGGACAGAATGTACAAAGACAGAGACTGGGATGGATTGTTATTTATGAGGAACAGGGAGGCCATTTTGGTTTGACTGTAAAGTATGAAGAGGAATAATGTGGACTAAAGTGCTTTAAATACCAAACAGCAAAATACGATTTTACTCTGCAGGTATCAGGAAGCCATTGAAGATTTTTGAGCAGGGGAGGAAAAGCTCAGAAGGAGCAGAAAACAGCTTCTGTCCTACTGTCTACTCTGTTGAATTCAATTGAATAAGGGCAGTTATGAGTTATTTGGCTACCTTTAGAAATAAAAATCCAAGAGCATAGCAGTTGTGTCTCTTTAATGGAGTTTATTGACTCTTTCATCTTATTGCATTTTTTCCCTGGAAGGTCAAAGTACTTTATACCTTCTAGTAGAAGGGGTAGATATTACTGCTTTCTTTGTTTTACAGATGAGAAAACGAAGATAGCTTGGTGGACTTATATTGGAGCAGTGTCAACCCATGTCTCCTAAATCTCAATTTGCTTCCCAAGGTCTCAGAATTATAACATGACCCCCTTTATATTGGTAGTGAGAGGTCACTTACAAAATAGAGTGTATTACCAGGCATCCATATATTGTAAACTGTCACATAGGAAATTTAGGACTGATATGTGGCAGATCAACACTTTTAATCCTAATCACCTGATTACAAAACCATCTTTAATCTGAATAGAGACTTTCCCATGAGACAGCACAGTATTATTTATGAAATCTGTCACTCCGGAAAGCCCAGGCCAGAGCAGCAGGAGGCTTGAGAATGCCCTAAGTACTAAGGAAAGGGCAGTTGCTTGTTTTAAGCAGTCCTGGGGCTATTTGTTTGCAAATCTCATTTCTTTTTAACAAAGTTAGATAAAGCAATAAAACTTTGTAGATGTCATATATTTCACTGAAGATGAGCTTAAAGGCCATGAGCTAAGAGTAACAGTAAATTAAAACCAATCCAAATGGAGAGAATTAAAACCCAGATAGTAATCCTGGCTTTCCTTTTCCTCTATGACCTGGAACATGTGACTTCATCTTTAGGGTTAGACCCTAATTCTAATGAAGCTAGCTGTTAGCATCAGATCATTTTCTTTAACTATCCTTATTCCCATCTAGCTAGTTTTACTGAAATGTTCATGACGTTACTGAAGTGACCACTGGCAGGGCCTCTTCCTGACCATAGTTCTTACCCCTCATCTCATGAATCAACAGGATTTTTGCTCCTGCCCCCTCTCCTGAGGACTTTTGGGGCTTCAGCAGCCTGCCTTGAGTGGAAGCTTGTTCTGTACAGAGGTCAAACAGCCTGGATCCATGCTGCCCTTGGCACAACTACAATCATGGTTGGAACTAAAGGCCATGTGAACTACCTGGCTCAGGTTCTCCCACATCAATAACAGGATCAAACGATAGATGAATTGTAATAATAATAGGTCACATTTATATAGTACCTACTATGTGCCAATACTGTGCTAAGTGCTTTAGAAATACTGTCTCTTTGGATCCTTACGACTTTGGGGATTAAGTACTACTTTATCCCCATTTTACAGATGAGGAAACTGAGGCAAACAGAGGTGAAGTATCTTGTCTAGGGTCACACAGCTAGGAAGTATCTGAGATCAGATTTGAACTCAGGTTTTCCTAACTCCAGACCTAGCACTGTGAGACTGGTCATCCATACCATCTAATACTATCTCTAAAGGTGACACCATGACACCAGGCTGCTGTATTCCAAAATCCCAATCTGAAAAGGTTTAGGGTCTTACCGTTATCCTTGACATGCTTCTGGACTCTGTTTTCAGCCCTTGGAGAAAAGGTCATGTTTTTACCACCTACTAATAAAAAGCCTCCTGAAGGCAGGCACCTTTCTCTGGAGAAAGTTTTTTTTTTCCTTCTGGAAATGGATAGGATAACAATGAGTGATAACTGATATGAGGATTAACCAATAACCACAAAGCATTCAGCAAACAGAAGAGCATAGAGCTAGGAAAAGGATGGCTTAGTCCAGCAAAGTAGAACAGAAAAAAATGATATCAAGCTAAGGGGGAATTGAGGCATTTCATCAGGAAATACTTTGACAGTAAGTACTATTAGATTGAGGAAGTCTCCTAAAGGAAGGGAAGGACAAACTGCCAGTGTATTTATTAGACCACACTACTAATGGTATGTCTTTCTGTACTATCGGATGTCTAGAGGAGCCTTTCCTACTCTTTTTATATTTTCTATGATTCCTCATCTAAGGGCAGTCTGTAAGATACTTAACCAACATTACTATCAACAGTAGAACCAAAAGGAAAGTGTTGGTTTTGTTTCCTTTTTTTTTTTTAAACAAAAATATAATTCAGTTAGAGAAATGGGTCTAGAGTAGGGGTGGGGAACCTTTGGCCTCAAGGCCACATGTTGCCCTTAGGGCCACACCTGAGGACTTAGAGGGCCACATGTGGCCTTGGGTTGCAGGTTCCCCAACCCTGTTGTAGAGTCAGGAAGACCTGAGTTCAAATGTGACCTCAGACACTTACTATATGACCTGGGCGAGTCATACTCTGTTTGCTTCAGTTTCCTCGTTTCAAGGACCAGATGAAATATTTTTAAAGCACTGGATCTGGCACACAGTAGGTGCTATATATGTGCTTATACAGTTTACTTAGTTACTTCATTTACCATAAATCTTTCCATTTTAACTTATGAATTTTTTTTCTTCCATTTGAGTGGCAGAAGGTCAGTTACCCTACAGAAGACCTTAAGCTGTGTCTGCCTCTTTGAGAACAAAATATAATCCTATTATGTGCTTTCATCGCTACAGACTTATGAAGTGAAGAGTGTGCTGGGAAAGAAGGTGGGGCCGTTAAATTGTTTTGTCCAGACCTTAACCAACCACCCCACAAGCTGCATGGGATTGGAGGAAATTGAACTTCTACCAGCAGGAAGAAACTAAGATGAAGACTGCCTGTTGCCATAGTGTCAATGAACTTTGCAATGTTGTTACAAAGTTGTTTTGTAGTTACTTGTTAACTAAAGACTAAGAGGATTTATATTCATTACAAACAGGATCTTGAAATGCCACTTATTTTCAATTTCTCTGGGAACACATTCGGAAAATGAGTCATTAATTATCAAAATACACTTTTTTCTATACAATCATTAATTGTATCATCATCATTTACAGTTGTAGCAAAATATATCAATGGAGTTTAAATATTGCACTAAAAGCTGAAGACTTCTAAATGGATTTTGATGTTTTAAACTTGGAAAGAAAATTAAAATTTTTAAATGTCATAGTTGGAACAACCTTTTACTGGCATTCTAAGGCTTCCCCCCCCCCCGCAGTGCTTGATTTAACACTATCTCCTGTAGGAACATACACTTCTACAATAAATATCCAAAGTTCAGTAACTTTGTTATTTTTAGAAAACATACTGAGAAACTGTAGCAAAGGTGAAGTTGTTTCCCATAAAATGTAGATAGTTAACCAGTATGCTATCATAGATCTACTGTATTATAATAGAAGTGTTAGATAAGTTTTACAGCCTAATCATACTGTGAAATATGGACCCAGAACAAAGATTAGGTAGATTTAAATACCTCTGTGAGATTCTAAATCTCCCCAACTACTGAAAATTCCTTTTACCTAAATCGAAGATAGGAATATGGTTATCTCACTCTTCCTTTGTTGGCAGTGATTTAAATTGAATGTGGGGCCAGGAACTAATGCTTTGCACCCTAAAAAGATTTTTTGTATTGCTTGCTTTCCAACAATGTGACCAGAAACATCACGCTGCCAATTTTAGAGTATTTACCTATTTTACCTTAGGAAAAGTCAATGCAACAGCTAGGCCCAAAGTGTCCTTTTTAGGTTTGAATGTATTAGGCTAAGAAAAGATAGAATTATTGTCTCCTCCCACTCACTCCCCTTTTTACCTTCTGCCTTCTTTAAAGAAACTGGTTGGCTTTTTTTCATCCTTTTTAAATTTCACCCAGGCCTTAAAGATCCCTAAATGTAGTCGGGTTTTCTGCTAGAACAAACTAGACACTAGAACATACTTTTAATCACCTGAAGGTGATTACTACATACTTTATACTTTTAAGTTAATTTGCAGTTTTTTTTTCAGAAAACCTGAGGCAATGTAAACAAAGATGGGCAGATGAAATCTACCAATAATTAAAAATTATTTTAGCCAATAACCTTCCTACCTGCATTGGAACAGCTAACTAATTGTAAGGTCACCTAATTTGATTCTCACCTCCCTTCTAAGCCCTTCCCTGATCGATTTTTTTAATTAAAATACTAAAACTGTGTTTTGTGGCCAGAAACCCTCTCCCCACCTCCCACAGACACACCCAGAAGTTTAGGGGAGATGAGCTTGGTTTATCTAAAAAAGGAGTTAGTCACTTACTCTGAATAGGTTAAGTAACTTCTGGGGAAAAAAATTATCGTCACAGAATTGAGCTAGTTCACGATTAGATCGCCACCCTGCAAAATATTTTTCCCGGTATGTTAAAAACAAATATTCCAGGGTACATTTGAATATAAATTTATAGTGACACATGGCTTAATTTCGGTATGTAAAGGTTTTCCAATACTCTTAAAAGTATCGATGGGTATAGACTTGGGGGGTTTGAAATACCAATTATGGATTCCCCTTCTTGCTAATAAACTAATTTCAACCGCCAGGGCAAGGAAGTTTGAGCTGCTGAGCCTTCCTGGTGTTGACTCACTCGTACAAGCCACAGGGGAATGAACTTTTACACCACGGAGTCACGTGAGCTACCTGCATGTTGGTGCAAGCAAGTTTCTCAGTAGTATGTCCCAGCCTCTCCCTACTGCTGCCAAAGGTGTGGGTCCACCTGTGGCCTTTCCCTACGAACCTTTTCTTCCAAGGTCATTGTGAATACAAGAAGCAGGAATGATTTAAAATGCTTTTTTTTATTCTTAGAAATACTGTAAAAATTAATATAAAAAGTTGAGCATGCTCAGGCTTTTCCTCTTATCTACAATACAAAGGTTGGGGGGGGGGTTTAATCTTTTTTTTTTTACAAATGTACCATAGCTGCATCAACAGAAGTAAGATGTAGAAAAAAAACCAACAAAACGAAAGTTACCATTACAAAAATAATTTAAGGAAAACATTTTATAGCTTCTCTTGCAGTTTGGTTGTGTGTTAATCCAGAATGTAGCTTCATCCAGCTACTGCGTTCAAAACAAACAAAACCACCAACAATTTCACGTTTCTTGCTGCATGCCACAGAACAGGCTGCGAAAACACGTGGGGTACTTTCTGCTACAAGGTGATCTTTGGAGTCTCTGAGGTATTGATAGTTTGACTAATCGTCTCTGTCCCTCTTCCCACCCGCTCCTCTTCCCCGTGCCGCCCCCCCAACCCCGGCCCCGTTCCCTGTCGCCCCTCGACAGCTCCCGACACCCCCACTTCGGTCCCAGTTACCGACAGTCAATGCCCGAGGAGGCGGTGCCGGCTTGGAGAAAAGAAGAACTGGGCAGCTGTTTAAAAAACTGTCTCAGGCTCGATAAGTCCCTGGTCAGCTGCTCGATCTTCTTGTGCAGCTTCTCGTTCTCCGAGGAGAGCTCCACGAGCTTCTGCTGCATCTCCTGGTTGCGCTTTTTGGCCTTGTCCCGGCTCTTGCGCACCGCGATGTTGTTGCGCTCCCGCCTCTGCCGGTACTCGGGGCTGAACCGGTCCAGAGACTTCTTGCCGCCGCCGCCGCTCTTCTCCTTGCCCAGATGTGGCGGCTGCGGCGCTGGCGCCGCAGGGGAGCGCCCACTGGAACAGCTGGAGCTGGAGCTGCAGCCCGACGGCTCCGGGGAGGTGGGCGGGGTGGGCTGGCCGGCAGCCGACAGGTTCATGATGGTCTGCGCGCAGGTGGCGATCTGCGACGGCAGCAGGGACGACGACATGTCGCTGTCGCTCCAGTCGGGCTCCTGCTTCAGGGCGCCCGGCGGGGACGCGCTGGTGCCCGCGCCCAGGAGGCTGGCCATGGCGCTGGCGAAGTCCTTGTGCGCCGGGGGGTGGGAGTGCGCGGGGTGCCCGGGCAGGTACTCGTAGTCCCCGGCGCTGGCGTGGCTGGCCGTGCCGCCGCCCCCGCCGCCCCCGCGCTCGGGCTTGTGATTGCTGTTGAAGAGGTCGGCGAAGAGCTCGTCGTGACACAGCTCCAGGTTGGGCACGGAAGACATGGAGTCGATGTAGGAGCTGAAGTCGATGGCGCTCTCGTCGTCGTACATGGCCGGGGCGGCCGCGCTCAGCTCCGCCAGGTTAGCGCCGCCCCCGCCGCCGCCGCCGCCGCCGCCTCCCGCTCCTCCTCCCCCGCTGCCGTGCTCCTCGCAGCCGCTCAGGGGGCCCCGGCCCGGCTTGCAGGAGGCTCCCAGACCCCCGGAGCCGCCGCCGCCTTTATTGGTCTCGTAGAAGTTGGCCGGCTCCATGGACCAGTTCCTGTAGCATGCCGGGCTGTCGAGGCTGTAGAGCGCGGTGCTCATGGAGCCGGGCGGGCACCTGCAGGGAAGGGCCGAGCCCCGGGCTGCGCGCGCCTGAAGGACGGAAGCCCGCACCTGGGGCTGCTGGAGCTTCGGGGCTGGGGCTGGGGCAGGTACCCGGGCCGGCACACGCTGGGCACCGGGCGCGGGACGCTGGGTCTGGCCGCTCGCTCGCTGGCTGGCCCCGGGACTCCCTCGCTCACTCCCTCATCCCCCACCGGCTTCCTTGGCTTTTTCCCCCCTGCTTCCCACGGCCCAGATGCTTGTCAGACTCTCACCGGGTCGGTGCAGCCCAAACCGGTCTCTTTTCTACCCCCGGGGTTGTGACGTAAGGCCCCGCCCCCGGGTCGGCGCCCGGTGTTATCCGAACCCTGGGAGAGCTGGTGCGGGGGCGGGCGAGCGGGAAGGGGCGGGATCGGCGGGGACTGGATGCCCCAGCCCCCTCTGGCTCCGGACTGGGCCGGCCGCCTGAGGGGGTACGCTGGGCTACCCGGGAAGTGAGCGCCTTCGGAGCTGCGTGCGGGGCTACGGGCACCAGCCCACCTCGGAGCCGTGGGGGCCACGTGGGAGCGGAAAGCCGTGGGGCCGAGGAAGCCGGAGCTGCGCGCTCTTCCTCCTGCTGCTGTCCTCCCTTCCTTCCCGCCCTCCCCCACCCCCTTCGGGATACGGCCAGGGCCTGGCTGCTGGGAAGGACCCTCCCTCTGCCAGCTTTTCAACGTGCAGGACTCAGTGTTCTCATCCCCTCCTTCCTGTTTATGGGTCTTTGAACCACCTCATTCCTCAGGTGAAAGGAGGGGAAGCCAAACCACTGGACTGGTCCGAGGGCCCGGTGCTCCCTCTTCCTGGGGGAGCCAGGTCACTGGGCCATTTAGATAAGGGGGGAAGGGGCAGTGGCCATTTTTCCACGTGATCCCTCCCAGGAGGTAAGGGACTAGAGGATGAAGTGACAGGCAGCCCCCGGGAATTAGCGCACGTCCCAGGGGGAGGGAAAAGTGAGAAAGAGTGCGCTGGCATGGACTCATTCGCTGCCTAATGAGGCTTTAAATGCAAGCAAATGTCTCTACTGTGCATAAGGTTACAAAGACACAGATAACGAAATAGTCTCTTGAGGCAAGAAATTGAGTTTTGTTATTTGTGTATCTATGCATGTAACATTTGACCCATAAGCCAGCGTCTCTTCGTGCCTCGTACAGCTGATAATATAACGAAAGGCTTCGCGCAGTTTAGACGGGGCACACATTTGTAGCTTGTACGTGGACTCTCCTCTTTCGCCCTCGCCCCCACCCCCAGCTTCAGTGAGGACGGGAAGCCGTTAATATTTTTCAGTCACACACAGCATTATCGCCGCTGCCGATCACGTTTCCAGAATCATGCAGACCCTGGTGGAGCCTGAATTCCCTGACCAGAATGTGTTTAAATTTGTAAACAATCTCTTCATATCCGCTCTCCTGTAGTATTCCGCAGCTGCTGCGCAAAAGCCCTTTGACAAGCCTGCCATCTACTTCGATATCAGAGAAACTTACTCCCCTTCACTTAACTATTCTTCGGTCTAAATGACACGCTTAGGTTGGAATCATTATCAACTGAGGAGAGGAAACCGGGCAAGTCCAAGAGTCACACCCACCACCAGTTAATTTTCGGGGTTGGGGGGGATAGGATACAATGGTGGAGGCTGCTGTGACACATACACACACTTCTGTCAGCTAGACAACAGCAGCAGCCGCCCATCTTTGTCAGCCAGCTGGGAGAGAAAAGACAGATGTCATGGCAGGGGGAGGGAGGAAGGGAGAGGAGCTTCCTAAGGTTCAGCCAAGATGTTTGCAGATAGTAAGATGAGCAGGGGCCATTCCACCACTCCATGCTCTCACTAAAGCAATGGCTCCTGCCAAGTTTTATAAACTTACTGCAAATAGGCGTTTGTGACTTTTTTTAATCATTATTTTGAAGTCTCTTCAATATACCTCATATTTGCCTTAGCGAAGTTTAGTAGAAATATTTCAGGAAGTTCTGGGCTAGGGGAAACGTGCTTGTGTCGCATCGTTTAATTCACCAAGAGAGTATTCTAACCATTTTCCCACTTAGATGTCCCGACATCTGGAGAGCAGTCTCAAAGTGCATACCCGAAATGTTTCAGCAGGCCTGGAAACTTAGGTCCTTTCACCCAGATTTGTGCTGTTTCCAAAATGACAGTCACAAACCTTGTTATGTCTCAGGTTATACATGTAAATAAATGCACCCCAGATGCAAATTCTCTTCAGCACAATACAAGCTTCTGTTTGCTTTAAACTCTTGACCAAAAGGCAGTTGAACTGTGAAAATGAGCTCATCTTGCCACCAGTCACCTCCACTTGGCTTCGTGTTTGTTCCTTGTGTGTATCTCCCCACCTCCACAAGCATGGGGCCTTGCTTCAGGAAGTGGAGGCCATATAGTTCCGTGTGTCCTAATAACCACCAAAGTGCTATTATAACTAATGGGTTCACAGGCATAAATTAAATAGAAAGGCTTACAAAAATTATGCTTTAGAAAGTTCTATGTTTCTCAGCTGTTCTTCTGTCTACTTCTTGGCAGAAAGAACATCCATTTTTGCATGTTAACGAACATGTTTCTGGGCATGAGGCTACTAAAGAGTGCCACCTTGTGGTTTGGTCTTGCATCAGCCTTATTAAGGCCTTTTAATTCCCCACCTCCAATTATTCTGGTAAGACATTCTTTTGAATTGATAGCATCTTTTAGTATCTTGAAAATGTTTGTCATGATTACCTATTATCCAGTATCTTCACTTCCACAGCTCACCTATTCTGCAGTTGTTATGCAAACCTGTACCCCCACACACACATTCAGACCAAATAACAGACCCTCCAAAAGTAGTTTTAAACACTCAGTTTCGCAGGATAATTCAGTTGTACAATTTATTACACGCCTACTATGTACAAAGCTAGGCTGCTAGGTGACACAGTGGATAGAGCACTAAGCCTGAAGTCAAGAGGACCTGAGTTCAAATGTGGCCCCAGATACCAGCTGTGTGACCCTGGGCAAGTCATTTAACCCTATTTGCCTCAGTTTCCTCATCTGTAAAGTGAGCTGGAGAAGGAAATGGCAAACCACTCTAGTATTTTTGCCAAGAAAACCCTAAATGGGATCATGAAGAGTAGGACACTACTAATGGACAAAAAATTGTACAAAGCATTATGCTGGACATCAAGGGGCACAGAAATGAATAAAAAAGGGGTCTCTATCCCCATAAAACTTACAGTTTAGTAGAGTAGATTTGTCATAGGTCAAGGATCTGTGATTTCTTTCTTGTGGAATCTCATTTAGCAGATAAATATCAGAGAGCTAAAAACTTCAGAGAGGCTACACGATTTGTCCATAGGCACACAGCCAGTAAGGGATGGAGGTCTTCCTCCAAGTCTAGCACACTGTGCTGCCTATTTGGGCAGATGATATACATAAAAATGATAACTATAATATAGTTTAGAATACAAATTTACAAGCAGGTTACAGTGAAAATCATAGTTGAAACTTGGAGACTTTTTGGACGTGGCCAACGTTGAATTTTGCTCTGCTTAGTTATGCATATTTATTCAAGGGCTTTGTTTTACCTTTCTTTTGTTAATTGAAAAAAAAAATTTAAAAGGAAAGAATTAGTGAGAGAGATAATGAACTTCTGGTTTGGTGTACCAGGGTTGGCTTTATGAAGGAGGCTATACTTGAACAAGACCTTAGGACGTAGTTAGAATTTCAATAAGCAGAAATGGTGGGGAGGATGTTCTAGACATCCAGCAGTGGGAAAGCAAAGGCAAAGAGTCATGAATAAGATGTATATCGTATCATTTGTTGTAAGTTTAGTATATATAAATATAAAGTTGGGTGAAATCAAGCTGGTGAGGTAATCCATGATCCCATCAGTATGGGAGTTCCCTCCAATGACGCCTATCCATGGCAGCTAATCATGTGTGTCTCTTGTCTGCATCCTTCCACAAGTTCACCAAAAGTGCCAGAGGCCTTCTTCTCTTCCTGTTGACATCATGAGGGTATCAGTGGAAAACTTTGGCTGTCCATCTGTCTTCCCTCACTATTGCCACATGACCAGCATACCTCTCTTCGTTTCATGCAGTTCTTTGATTATATCTTTTATTCCTGCCCGTTTTTGGAGTTCTTTACTGGTTAGATGGTATAGCCTACTCACACCCCCCATGTGCCTCCCCATTTCCCTCTGTGGGATATTCATTTTTTATTCTTCAGATATAATGGTATTCCATGTTTTGATGCCATATAGCAACACCAATAAAATGGACCTTTGCTTTCATGGGAAATTCAGGATCAGTTTAGTAATTTCTTGAAACAATCCAGCTTGCTCTTCTCCTCATATTTAACCACAACTTATCTTTCTAATATTGTCCATTCTATGTAGGTGCCCTGATAAATGTTCTCTAGGGTGTTCATCCAAATGCAAGTTGAAATCTGTACAATAGACATTTTCAACCATCTGATCTTTCCTGTGTGGTTGAACAAGCCAAACTCCTTTGATTACAGGTATCTTTCAGAAGGCTCTATCGTGTTCTAGAGACTGAAGTAATTAGCTTAATGACATCTAAAACCAGGACTACCTGGAGAACCTCACAGGCAAGATCCACCAGGAATCCCTCTTGAACATGGAATCTAGACTGAATCTTCTCCATCATAGTGCTTATACCTTTGGTGAGTATACCTATTTTATGCCTCACCTAATATTTGTAATCAAAGGGTTATTAAGCAGTATTATAAATCATATTTGCGTGTATTTGTGTTTATGTTGTCTTTCCCATTAGATTTGGAGTTCCTTGAGGGCAAGGAATGTTTTTGTCTTTCTTTATATCCTCAGTACTTAGCACAGTGCCTGGCACATGGTGAGCATTTAAGAAATGCTTATTGATCTGTTGGCTTCAAGATATCTTCAGTGATTTTTAGGTGTGTATGAGAGAGATCTTTTTGAAAAAGAGCCTGTAAGCGTTTTGTTCTATGGAATCAAATGGGTTTTTTTCATATTCAACAAATAATAAGCACGGTGACATCTTATATTCTCTACATCTTTCAGTCAGTTGAACAATAGTAAAGATATAGCTCTTTGTTGAGTATTGCTTGGGAAAACCTGCTTTATTATCTCCTCTACCTTCATCCTGTATGATCTAGATTCATGTGTAGATGTTTCTTATAAAAAATTTTCATAGATGGGAGAATAGGCATGTGAATCAGTAGTTATTGACTACTGATCTCTCAGCTAACTTTTTTCAGAATTAAAATCAGAGATGTTCTCCCCATGCCTTTGATGTCTTCCTTGTCAGATACCTGGTGTATCAGTCCCTTGATATGCTGACATTTGTGTTGCTCTCAGTACAGGTCTTCTCCATATATATTTAGTCTAATCCAGCTGCTCTTCTAATCTTTGTTATCAGAAATGACCCAATCAATCATTTCCCACTATCTGTGGCCTCCAGATTTCTCTCTAGTGCAAGCCTGCCATTGGACCAAGATTCCCCTCCCCAAAACTTCCTGCCCTATCAGTGTCTTCTGCAATACAGGCTAGCACTACTACCTACTGACAGGAGTCCCATACTTCCTTCTCCTAACTGCTGTGAAGCAAACATCCAAGGACACAACATCACTATTTGCCACATGGTCAGACCATAAGGAAGGACTTTGAACAGTCCCTTCACATCTCTCCTTTAAAAGACTTTTCTCCACCAACTGACACTCTGCCTAGTACTCACTCTTCCATGATAACAATGCTCCCTTCTCTATCCTTTCCAGTACTGGTTGCATTTTTACTGATATCATCCCACTCATTGGTTGTAATGGGGGAGTTGGAATGTTCCTTGTTCCTCATTGCCACTGCCAGCTCCTCTTTTTACCACCATCATTGAGAATCATGAATTGCTGAATTCTTTCCACTGAAGTTCACAATATCTAAATATATCATCCACTTCAGATCGTGTTGGCCATATCTATTGACACCTATGACATTCTTCTTTCCTCAGTAAATTCACTGCTTTGCTTACAGTCTTTCTCTCCATCCCAATATTTGTCCTCCTATTTGTGTTTGTTCAGTCGTTCAGTTGTGTCCAACTCTTTGTAACCCTGTGGACCATACTTGTCCATGGGGTTTTCTTGACAAAGATATTGGAATGGTTTACCATTTCCTCTTCCAGTGGATTTCATATTAGAGGATTTCAACATACACATTCATTTTTCCTCAAAAACTCTTAATTTCTCAGTTCCTGGGGCAGGTAGGTGGTACAGTGAATGGAGGTCTGGCCTTGGAGTGAGGAGGACCTGAATTCAAATCCAGCCTCAGACACTTAACACTTACTAGCTGTGTGACCCTGGGCAAGTCACTTAACCCCCGTCACCTTACCAAAAAGCAAATAAATAAATAAATAAATAAATAAACTTCTTAGTTCCTCAATCTACTCGATTCCCATGATGTATTCCTCATCTGTACACAGAGATGTTCATACTTTTAGTTTTGCCATCACCCATAAGACTTCTACTTCCATGTTCATGAACTCTGAAATTCCCTATCTAATCATAATCTTTTATCATTCTATTTTTCCCTCTGCCTTATAGCCCCTAACACTGTTCTTCATTCTCACTATGACCTCTGTTCTCTCTACCCCTCAGCTCTTTCCCAGGCCATCACTCCTGCAGTAGCTGTACTTTCCTTACTTCTCTATCCTAATCCCTTGGCGAACAAAGTCAATACTGCACTATCATTTATTCTTGAATCCCTTGTTCTTTGGCCAGTCATGCCTTGTCAAACCCAAAACCTAGATTACTTTTACTTTGCTCCTATTTGTATATCCATGGATGGCGCTGGAGGAAATCATGAAACCTTGCGGAATGAGTTTCTAACAAATTTATGTTATCAAATCTCAACTGAGCCCACATTTCAGCAAAACATCCATTCTATTCCTCACTGATCAATTCCTATCATATTCTCCACAACAGGTGTTTCAAACTTTCTTATCTTTCCTCAAGACTTCCATGGCACTCCTTACCTAAACCCTCTCTGTTGAACACTTCATCTCATACTTCACTGAGAAAATGGACTATTTGATATGAGCTCCCTTTTCTCCCCTTCTTTTTTATCTCAAAATCCCTTGACATCATCCCCACCCCCAGTTCTTTTTCTAGTCTCCAATGGTGTGGCCCTTTGTCATAGCCAAGTCCGACCCCTTTATAAATACCCTCGATTCAATATCCTCCCATTTTCTATAGCAGACTGTCCCACCTCAATGCCCACCCTCCCTATGTGATGGTTTCTTTCCTGTTACTTTCAAGATATTCAAGTCTCCCTTATCATTTTTTTAAAACCTCCCCCTTCCCACTTGCTAATATCATATATATCCTCTTTCTTTCTTACCATGTTCTTCTGAGAATTCATTAAAGAAAAGTAAAAGGATTGCCTTGCTGCAGTGAGGACTCAGTTGATATTTGATTATATAAATTTATAGTGTATCCAATCAATTTGATTGGATAGCTTCCTTTACCTCTGTTTAGGAGCATGTGAGTAATGATGATCAAAGGACGAGGGAGTAACCTAGGCTTGAGATTTGGAAAAGCAGAGTCAACTATGTGGCAAGGAGGCAAGGGAGTTGAGCGCAGAGTTGAACAGATGAACTGTAGAATTGATTGGAAATGGAGGAAAATTGTTAGAGCAGGGGAAATGCCTTGAAAAAATGAGTTCTAGGTCATGATGAAGATGAAAAGTAGATTTAGAAGGGATAAGGCATAGGGAGAGGTGGAACCTCACATTATGGAAGTGAAATTCATGTGATTGATGTCAGCATCTGAACTGTTACCATCCCAGTGTGGGACTGAAACAGAGCAGCAGAGTAGGTCTTAGTATTTGAAGATACTGGAAAAAACTGGGATGTCCGGGTGATTGAGGGAGCATCAACATCTGTGTCGGACTTCCCTAGTGTAAAGGGAGGAGTTGAGGAAAAGAAGAAGACAGTGATCCAGGTACTGAACTTTTGGGGAAAAGTGGAAAAATAATCTGGGTACTAGTAGACAGTGACCGCCATAGTCTTGTTTGGCAATAAATTTTAAGAGTGAACTTCAAAGGTGGAGAGATTGCCTAGTGATGTTAGTAAAGGAAGAGTTTGAAAGTGGCAGTAGAGAGCAAGGAATAGTCTGATTCTTCCTCCATGTTTTCTGTGATGAAGAGGGTGGCTAAGGATGCACTGTCACCTGGGGGAAACTGAGTCTCTATGAGTGCCAGAAGATAGAAAGAACACAAAAGGAATAGGTCCAAAATGGAGTATACTTTGTAATTTGATGAAGAGCAGAGCCACAACAACGAATTTTTGCACCTAGAGCAAGCAACCCCAGGGCAGCCTCAGTTGGTGGTGAGGAAGATGTAAGACAATCCCACATTCAGGAAAGACAACCTAGGATCCTGGGAGATTGCTGATGGGGAGGCTGCCACACTTGGGAAAGAAGGGCAGGGTGAATGAGGAGCTCCCTCCAGCCCACCATCTGGTAGCTGTTGTAGTTAAGTATTCCTGCCAATTAGGTGCTGAGATCTGTTGTTTCTAAACTGCTAAAGGGTTGAAGATGCTTTTAGTGTCCTCTAAATTCAGTGCCCTGAGCAAAGTCCTGGTCACCCCATCCTACTTATGGTTCTGGTGAAGGCCTGTGATAATGGAATCACAAATGTTTGGACAATTGAAGTATTTTCTGATTCTGTTGTTCTTAATCCTTTTTCCTTGGTAGATAGTCATTTTGGCAGCTGTGTGGAACAGTGGGTAGATCACCAGGTCTGGAGTCAGGAAGACCTGAATTCAGATCCAGCCTCAGACACGTATTAGCTGTGTGTGACCCTGGGCAAGTCACTTGGCCCTGTTTGCATCCATTTCCTCAACTGTAAGATGAACTAGAGAAGGAAATGGCAAACCACTCTGGGATCTTTGCTAAGAAAACCCCAAATGGGGCACGAAGACCCCGTGTCATGAAGAGTCAAACATGACTGAAACAACTGAACAGTCATTTAAAATAGTCATTTTAAATGCTCCAGAAAGGAAGTAAGCAAATTCAGAAGTTGCAGTACCTGGCATTTACAGTGATTTCCATGTACTATTAAATACAATTGAGATGTTCAGTTGATGGAGTAGCTGAGTTCAAGCTTTTTCCAGGCTTTAGTTCACAACTTAACACTAAAAATGATTAAACATTTTATTATAATTTTATCCAAAGGTATCAGGGTTATAAGGCATGTCTAGCTTTTCTCTTGGGAATGTAAAAAAAGGAAGTATTGAGAAATATTTATTGAATCTGTGGGTCCCTTGTTCTATTCTCTGATGTTACACAGCTAGGTAGTGAAGTGGAAAGAGTGCTAGATCTGGTATCAAGAAAACCTGAGTACTACTCTGACCACGGACATTAGCTGTGCAAACTCAGGCAAGTCACTTAACTGCTTTCTGCCTCAGTTTCTTTATCTGCAAAATGGAGGTGATAATAATAGCACCCACCTTCCAGGGTTGTAGTGAAGATAAAATGAAGTAAAATTTATCAAGTGCTTTTCCAGGGCTGCTAAGTGGCACAGTGGATGGAGTGCTAGGCCTGAAGTCAGGAAGACTCATCTTGCCAAGTTCCAATCTGGCCTCAGACACTTACTAGCTATGTGACCCTGGGCAAATCACGTAACCCTTTTTGCCTTA